CATGAAGTAATCCACTTTTTTCAGGAGGGAAGCTCCGGGTGGGTGTAAAAGTTTGAGCGAAATGGTTCACGCACCCCGGGGATTCCCTCCCCTTACAAAAATTGGAATTTCTGTAGCCGGCAAGAACTGTCATACCATATGCCCCCTTACTGGATGACCTAGCTAGAGTAACTCCGAGCCAGGGGAGTCGGGTGTGGTTCACTAGGACAAAATGCGAATTTTCCGCTCTTCGCACGCGAAACTTTTTTCGCGGCACCCCAGGTCCGCCCATGGCCAGCAATGGACCTGAGGTTCCTGCAAAGGCGAAGAAAGTTTCGCGCTGCGAAAACCGGAAAATTCGCTTGCTGTCTTAGTGAACCACACCCTAGCCAGTCCATGGGGTAGGGGGTTGACATGCGTGAACAGCTGGAATGTTCAAGTTCACATAGTTTGCCGAGAAACTGCATCATGATGCCCCCTAAGGCTGGTGTCAGAGTCCGCGATCCGTCGCAGGTTTCGCTGATTTCAGCGATTTGCGCGAAACCTGCGATGGATCACAGGAGTTGGAAGTGCCCGATGACACTGCGAATTGCTCTGGAATAGACCCACAACTTCACTTACCATTGACATCGACGACATCTCGACTGTTCTCATCACTGTCAAAAAGATCCGCGGATCCATCGGAGTGTACGCTATCATTGTCGCTCAGAATTACTACAGAATCCTGCAAACCACACCGTTACGCAGTAAGTAACTAAGGTTTATGCGGAAATCCCAAGCAACTCACATTTGCTCTCGTCGGGCGAGGACACATTTTGGCACCGTTTGAATTTGATAACTTCATAACTCTGACTCCATAACAATTAAAGCCACGAGACGACTGATACTCTCTCTCGGTTCCGGTACGTCTTGATCAGTCAAAAACGGATGAATTCGCTGTGGCCAGGAAAGCGAGCACGAAGTCGTATATTATTCCTTGGTTTTGACAGTGAGGAAGAAGTGACAGTTGCCGCGCAGTCATAAATTCGCGATGGAGCATAGTTGCTTTTGGCTCGCGTTATTGCGAAATTGAGAAATTTGAAAGTTCACTGTTGCGTAAGTGAGGTTTTTTCAAGCAGTTTTGATGTGTAGGTGTTGATTTTGCTGCAATTTGAACATTACAGGTCGTAACCAATACATGACGGGTAGTGCTGATTAGCCGTTGAGTTGGTTTATGCGTTAAGAATATGCACATTGTGAGTTTGTACATTAACTTGATTTTCTCGCTGTTTTCGTTTGTAGTCAAACGAATATTACGGGTATTCCCGTAAAAATCTCTGCTATCCAGAAGGCTCACGGTCAGAAAGTTGATCGGTTCCAACTTCGAATCAGGGTCGGTCCTATCGTTGTTACTTTTTCAAAAATTTTTACGACCCCCCTCCCCCAAGGTGGATTTGGTACGACCCCCTTTTCGACACCTCGACCACCATATTCCACCATATAGTATTTAATTCTGGTACCACTCAACCCACCAAACTCCGCCCACACGACCCCCCCCTCCTATAAACTCAACCAGGTACGACCCCCCGTTGTTACTAGTAACAACGTAGGATTGACCCTGCTTCGAACTGCTGTTTGGCCGCACTTCCTCTCGCGCTATATAAGCCAGAGCACGATAAACATTCGGAGATAGGGCCGAATCTCCTGCTGCCAGCACATTCGATATGCTTTCCAATCGTTGTTGCTGTGGGATCGCATGGGAGAGGATAGGAGCAAAAGAAAAATTACTCACTTTGATCGTCTAGGAGTCACTAGCGCAGTGAGTATGCATCCTAACCATTGTTTGAAAACCTTTAGAACGGATAATTCGAGTTACGCAAACCTCTCGATAGGCGCAGTGGTTTCATAATAACGAAGTGAGTGACTGAGACGGTGCTGTCGTTTAAATACCGTGACGATAGCGCGTTTTAGGCTTTTTTTGCCCCTGTGAGACTGGCACCATTTTACGTACGCACGAAACCTTGAATACCATTGGGTACATTTAGCAACCACTATTTTTTAATGTTGCTTAATGTTAATGAATCGTCGGCGCTAGTGTACTGGGGTGGGGAGAGTGGGCATCTCGCTGCTCACTCTCAAGGTGTTCAGCGACGACCATTTCTATAACTTTCTTCCCTTCCGAAAAGTGGATTAATGGCGGTGGTGGAATAATCTGATGCGCCGCGATAACCCCTTTATTACACTGGCACCGTATTGTTTGTTGATTGTATAAAAAAAGCATGGGAAGGATGAGAAATGGAAGACAAAAGTTTGACGCGCATAACCGTCAGGTAGATGCCATGCTTAGCGACCAGTCGCGCGATTTTCTAGCGATTCGAGGGTACGAGAGATGCGCCAGCTATTGCGAACTGCGGCATAATGGAATCACTGGCGCATTGCTTGTGTCGCTGGAGCATCGTTTTGGATCAGTCCTAGCGAACTGTGTGGCCCGCTAGCGAATGATCACAGAGCCTGACACATGCCTCAAAATTTCTCATGTACTCACTTGGTCTCCAGGGGATGACGCGCGTGCGGGGCATGCCGAGTTGAATAGCCTAAAATCTAGCCGTTACAACTTCGTTGTGGAATGAATATGAGTTTAGGTGATGTAAGAGCAAGAAGAAAGGCTCGGTGGAAAGGGTGGAAAAGTCAACGTTTCACTTGAGCCCTAACACTCTATTTCTTACGCATTTCCATCCCCTGCTCTAATTCTGCTACTGAGTATATATGAAGAAAACTCGAAGCGAGGACCATGTTTCTATTGCTCTTCAAGAATATGATTACTTTCAGTATGAAAAAGGCAGAGCGTGCAGTTGAGTCGTATGGATAACATTCCAAATACTTCTGGCTTTGAACACCGCATTTTATAATTGCAAGACGATTTCAGACAAGTCTTTGCTATTATCCTCACAAACCATGTATTCTCCTTCGATTTCAAAATCTCACGGTCCTGCTCGACTGTGCGGTAGACTTCTCATCCTTCAATCACTTTCTACCATACGTTTATGATGAGAGGTTTGTTTTTCTTTCATACGACCGCTAAGGGTTTTAAATATTTAGCGCGCAATGTTTCTATTCATTGAGTTGGGGATCTTGTGTGATTTGTAAGAGTTTTGCTTATGGTTAGAACTGTTCCTGATGTGTTATAAGTTCATATATGTCTACATTTCGAAGACGTTCCATTTCAGATCGCGGTTGAAAAACCTCCCTTCCTTTCATGGTGACACACTTTCATATCTCAAGCAGTTGAATGAAAATGTTTTTATAGAAGCAGTTCCAGAGGTCCACCTTGTGCCGGTTCGTTTTCTTTTTCAGCTTCCTTTTATTTTGCTCATTTCTAAAATTTCTGATGGATGCTGTTCTTTCGACGCAAGAATCTTCATGCATTGATGCCTAGTACTTATTTTTTGCTCTTCATTCAAGGAGAAATACCTGTATTTCCTGCTTGTCCAACGGACTTGATCCTGCCTCACATACAGTTGCGTCATAGGTATATTAACAGTGTGTAGAGCCAGACAGCGAAAACTGAAATATTGTGGAGCTCCGCAGGTATTTACAATGCAGCAACAAAAATGGTGTGATCATTAGGTAGGATGACCTCCAGCACAAGTTACGGCTCCTGGAATTTTGGCTAGTTTTGAGGTTAAAACTTTTGGGATGATTTGTGCTACACGCTTATTCGAGGAACAGCACTCTTTTGTCGACAAAAAAGAATATTTTGAAGAAGATACTGATGAGGGCTTATGGGTATTCTGAGAACACCACACTGCTCAGTACTTTCAACATGGCTGAAGTAGGACTCGTAAGAAAGCTTTTTACTACTGTGCTACGCTAATGCTCTCAAATTTTTTCCTTAAATCTACAGAAAAGGAAATTTGCCGTATGTCAACTATGTGGTACATGAAAGAGTTTGCTGTTCACGGTGCACTACTGAATGCTGATCAATGAGGGAGACGCTGAACAAATCCTGTGCAGAAATATCTCAATAAGGCCTGCATGCCGCTACGCAACTAAAACCAACCCAAAGGTTCCGAGCTATAAACTGTGCTAGAAGCTTCCATATCTAACGGGCTTAAGCTCTTCAGGATGATGTCATATGAATATCTGCAGATTTTCATTGCGTTTGAGCCCAAATGTCATTTTCTTTGCATAACTTTCTTTATTAACATATTTAGGGAGAGCTCTGTAGAGGTTTATTGAGAACGGCTTCCTTGTTGAAATGGGCTCAATTACTCGCTCATGCATCAGTCACCTCAGTTGTTCTCGAACCTCATTTGATTGCAGTTGGAGTCTTTGTCAATGAGCACTGTGGATTGCGTGCTTATTTCGAATTGGAATTCGCTTATTGCACTGCCATTTTATGTGGAAAATTCGGGATTTAGAGGAACAATATATGCGACAGAGCCTGTTGTACAATTCGGACGGTAAGGTTTCCATTATGACAGGGCTTAACAGAAATGTTTCTAATGTGAATCAGTCAATCTAATGTATCTCAATGAACGGGAGGGGGCATGTGGTGCGCTAGTGATGATGGCGCCTACAGCATTTGGAATTTTTTTTATCCTCGGGCCGCGACAACTATTTGCTTTCACACTTATAAGGGAGCATTCTTTCTCTAGAAAATTGAACTTCGTCGGGTTAGACGCTTTTTTTGCACCGCATGCACCCTTTTCTCCCCCACCAGTTTAATGGAATAAATCAGTATATCTTTAGGTTGATGATGTTAGAGTTGATCGAGTATTTCGAGAGGATTGTTTTTAATGATATCAGCAATAAATGGAAAGACCCCTCAATTTATTCGTAAGTTCTCTAGGTTGTGTATTTAAGATCTCATAAGGCCACAGATACAGTCATTTCGTGTCATTTAGAACCTTTCCGAATACATTAAATCGAAATCCTCTAGAAAAGCCTTTCTATTCGAAGCGAGTAATGGAGCAGGCTTTGGCTAGAATTACCACGGTCCTTCAATCAGACCGTTGTAAGTTTCTGTTTTTTTTCTATAGAATATATTTGACCAACTACTTCGGGTCCCTGTGCTCTTCTAGTAGTAAATCAATCAATAATGACAGACAAACAGTCTCATGGTTTTTTAATGCTAAGCAGTTGTTTATCTTTCCGAGTCAACGTTCCTAATTTGCATCCGCCTCCGTCAACATTTTTGCTTTAGGAATTGGAAGGCAGCGTTTCAGTACTTGCATGTCCAAGTGGTTATTCAATAGGATCTGCGAACTGGGTTTTCAAAACAGAGTATGAGCGGGTAGATGAGATATTTTAGACATTTCTATTCCTAATTTTTACTTACACACGATATTCGTAAGGAAAGCTTGCGTTGCAGGTAGGATACATGGCGTCTTCTTCGATTCGCTCTACGCACTCACGACCAGTTGAATGGGAGAAGCTTCAAGATGCCGATGCGCTCATCATGACATCTTTGAGTAGAACACCGGATTTCAGCTCCGAGGTAAATGAAGTGTTTCGGAAACGTTTCCATATTTATTTGTATGTCACCGAAATCAGCTGATATCGGACTTGTCTTTAGTGCGCGAAGCATTTATGTTGTTATCTGCAATGGGAAATTTTCGAATTTTCAAGCTTTTTTTTCAGGGAGCAATAATCGAAGTTGCTCAAACTGTCATGGACACATTGAAAAGAGGTGGAAATGTTTTGATGCCTGTGAATCCTGTTGGTTCTATCTATGACCTGATTGACGTGGTTTCTAGAAGCATAGATAATGCAGTAAGTATCAGATTTCTTTCATTTCTCTTTTTTCCTTGCGTACCTCTATTCTATCATTAGTCAACTCTTTGTTTCTCGATTAAGTAGTTCAAATGAATCGACTTAAGGCAGTTGTCAGCCTGCCTTAAAGCAGCACCCCCTCCCCGCGATGAGTTCATATTTCGGCTACTAATGAAGACAAGATGCCACTTGACGAGAACATATAAAGTGTCGCTGGAGAAAAAAAAACTGGCCTTGCAAAGACGCTATAAAGAATTTGGATATGTGCCAAATAGTGAGATCCGCGCATTTGCTTGCCATGGAGATCGCGTGACTGGCAGCGTGCTCCTTGAGCTTGTGCGATGCCTTTGTGGTTCTAGTGCGATCGCGTGTAAACTGTGGCCACGTGGAGGAATCCTGCCTGTTTTTCGATTAGTTTCGATTGCTTGAATCGTTTAATTATTGCATTTCTTGTTTGTATTGGTGCATATGCGATTGCAGCCGCATTTCTTGCTGGCACGAGCCAGCAATAAATGCCGGCGGAGCAAGCTAGTTCGGACAGCTCGTCCGGCCACACCCCTTCCTTATTTCAAGGGGAGGGGGAGTCCTTGTTTAAGGGCTTCATCGGCGGTTTTCTTTGTTTCTTTTTTTTCATTTGCAGCCAACTTGGCGTCCACAATTTCATTTTCGACGGTTTTACCCCACCTAATTGATCTGAGGGTGATGGTTCGAGCACATTCATTGGCATGATGCCAACGCCATGCTGTACTTTTCATCTCGGTCACAGGGCGCGTGCATAGTTGGTCGTACGATCGTAGCGGTCGCACAGCGCTAGATACGTATCGATCGTCGAATACTCAGGCAAGTGACGATCGATACGCATCCAATGCTATGCGACCGTTACGATCGTTGCGATCGGACGACCGACTATGCATACTACCACACACAGCAACACCTGAGTCCCACCTGAACAGCATGTGAACCGCTTGTGAGCGGTACGTGCACGTACTGTTCACATGTGGTTCACATGCTTTTCAGGTGGGACTCAGGTGTTGCTGTGTTGCTGTTGTTTACATGCATGATGTACTTATTACGCGGCGTCTGTGGCGAGTATATTGACATCATGTCATGCTTGCAGATGTCAGACTTCGCGAATCGCAGAGCCTGACACCTGTTTAATGCAAATTGTTCAATGTTTAGGGAGGAGCCACATTGGAAGCACGAATATATTTCATTTCACCTGTTGCAAAAGGCGCTTTGGCCTATTCGAACGTCAATGCTGAATGGCTTGCGGAATCGCGCCAAAATGCCGTGTATGTTCCTGAAGAACCATTCTGTCATACAGCGGTTTGTTTCACAGCTCAGTAGAATTTTACTTCGTCATTTATTTGTAACAGCATTACCAATATTCAATGCATTTTATGATGCAAAAGTTCCTCAAGTTTTAGCTTGATGTGCTCCGCATGATCAGTTATATTATTTGTTGAAGTTTTCACTTTTGTCGCAGCAGCACTTTTGTCTTTTCTTTTTATTAAAATGTACCGCATTTCGCTTTTCAGTTAGTGCGCAATGGAAGACTCAAGTTGTACGACAACATCTATGAGTCTTTTTGCAGAGAGTATAAAACCCCTTGTGTGGTGAGTAGCCCAAGCGCTTTGTTCAATCAGATTTCTAGCTGTGCTCCAATAAACTCATTTAGGTGCTTACTGGTCACCCTTCTCTTCGCATAGGTGATGCACCGCATTTGTTGGAAATGTGGGGAAACGATTCGAAGAACGCTTTGATAATGACAGGTTTGTATGTCACCTTCTCTTTCCCTTGGATTCCAAGCAAATTTCTACAGACTTCTGCCAGCAACTTTAGATAACGTCATCATTCATGCTTCGTCTCTCAGCTATCGCTCCCTAGGGGGAACATAGCCTGCCGGCTTCGACAAGAAATTGGTGCAATTTCCAATTGATGCTTTCAACCTGCGTCCGTCATTGGACGTGCAGTAGTGTCCGGGCGGAAGTGGGTATTCTTCTCCGGTTGGGGGCATCTTCGTCTTCGTGCAGCGAGAGGCCGAAAGATTGCGCTTCAAGAAACTCAGTTCTCAAGGGGTCTCGTAGCGCCGCGACCCTTTGAAATAGTTCAGACCGCCGTCAAGCTCGGCGACGGACAAGCGATGCAATGCAATCGCTCTGCCGAGAGCGATAGGCATGCGATTGCGCAATCGCTTGCCAGTCGCTCTCGGCCGAGCGACGGCGGTCTCAGTGCCTTTGACCCTCTGTGCCTCAGGCGTATAGTGTGAACTCTCTTCGATGAAATTCTAGGGGCAGCTTAGGTCGCAATCAGTAGGTGAGTCGCGCATCGGTCGCTAAGTCTGACATCTGGCTTACGCCACACCGATGTCGACCAAT